TTTTATTTTATTTATACTTTGGATTTCTCATTTATGGAAAACCATGAGATATTTCAGCTTCTCTGTCTGATTCATTTTACTTAACATTATGGTCTCAAGCTGCATCCATTTTTATACAAATGACTCCAGTTTATCCTTCTTTATGGCAGTGTAGAACTACACTGTGTGTAAACAGCACATTTCTCTCTAGAGAAGGAAATTCGCTTGGGAGATGCCTTGGTGGCTCACTACAGAGCTATTCAGGAGCAAGTTTGACCTGGTAATCCTGATTCAGTTGGGGCATTCTAAAGCAGTCTGGAAAAAATTACCAACACCAAAATATTTTGTCTCTGCTCTCCAGTTACCAAGTACATCAGTAGGAGGCACAAACATCATTACTCCATTTCAGACTCCCTCCTACCCCTGGGAGTCCAAGTTCAGAGATGGGGCAAAGCTTCATGGGATGTCAGGTGCATGTATTACGTACATTACTTGCTTATTAAAAAACATGCTCACGTGTGGTTTTTACTTCTGACAATGTTCTGTAAAACTGGTACTGCAGCACGTTTTCCCACTGTAATAAAATCTCCGTCTTCAAGGACACACACAGTTCTCCTTAAGAAAAGAGAGCACTGTATTTTGGTTTTCTGACTCTGTGGACAGCAAATAGATTTTACAGGGCCCTGATGTTTACCGGAGAGTCCTCACCTCTTGCGGGGTGCTCTCTGGAACAAAGGGGTGGACTGTAGCTGTGGACTGAGGGCTGTAATTGGATTAAGTTGATGGTCTGGGAGGGATACATGAATTGAAGGGATGGAGATGTACCTAAGTGGTAGGAGGTCCTAAATTCAACCCTCCACATAAATAAATAAATAGATGAATAAGCAGGTAAGTAAACACAGAAACATTACTGACTGCTTGGTGTATTCAGTCCTGGATTACTGAAAAATATGACCAGAATTTCCCAGTGAAAAAGATTATAACTTTTAAAATCTCAACTTTCAATAACAAGTATTAATAAAGTTACTGATTAATATAAAGTGTTTTGGTACTAATTTGAAGATATAGGAAAAGCAGGCATTCAGACACTGAATATTCCTGAAAAGAACAAAGAGGTTTGTAAAGATAAGAGATCGTAGTACACCAAGATTTTCTTTCCTCATTTCAGTTCAGTCAACCGGAATTTTGTGTCTCATGGTCATACAAAAGAGTAAATAATTATGTCAAATTTCACATGGAAGCTTAAATACAATTACACAAACGAAATCTTCAGGTTTCTAGGGTTCTGTTAAAGTCCTCGGCTTTCACTCATGTGCCAAAATGTTCATATGCTAGGCTTCCACGCTCAAGTTTTAAACTAGCAGAGAGCAGATGAAAGGGCCAGGGACCTCCTATCCTGACAGTTAATATGTATGTGATTGCCCTCTCCTCCTCTATGGTCACATTGTTCCTTAGAGAAGTCTCCCTAGGCTGTGCTTATGGTCACCTTGCCCAGTCACCCTCTACCTGGTCCTTAGGTGCAACTACACCTAAGGCTTTCCACACCACAAATATGATGCCCACATGCTCTTTATGTGGTGGTCCCTGCAAAGCCAAGGTCAAGGAGTCTCCCTGGACAGGGGAGGCTGGGGCAAGAGGAAAATGAAGCATGGGAAACGGTCACACACTCAGAAGCACCTGTGAGCTTGTATTGCTTTGCTCACAACCATCTGTATGCAATGCTGAACATGTATAAATGCAGACTAAACAATGAAGGTACTCAGCTTCTTCATCTGTGAAGATCGTGCACTTATTCCTGTGGGTGGACTCCACTGGGAAATGAATGGAATGGGAGCCCTACCCTGGGCATCCTGGCCTATGATTTGAAGACCAAACGGGGCACTGAAACCTTTCTTATCTTGGCTTTTTCCTTTTCTGTTGCCTAAACATTTTAACCTCACCAGTGTTAAATTAATGGCAGTTTCCTAAGCCAGTCCCCTGCCCTGCATGTGGATGAGTTTCTACGCGTGCCATTTTCCCTGCTGAGAATTTCCTTTCAGCTAGTGGACGGTCTCAGCCCAGACCTTCCTGTCTTCAGACCTGCTCTTCTGTCACATCGTTAAGCTGCAGTGCTGGCTTTCATGTACCTAAAGCAATACACCACACCTACTCTCTGTCAGGGCTGCTGCTCCCTAGTGGATTGATAAATTCTCAAGGAAGACCCCGGGTTTTTAATGTCAATCCTGGCACTTCCTTCAGAATCCATGACATGCTGGCACCCAATGTTTGTGCTGCAGGATGGGCATCTAGGAGGGGAAGAGGACTCTGCTCATCTTCCTCCAGTCATGCCTGCCTGGTGACAACCCAGCCCTGCATTGTCCTAAGACACAAGTCCCACAACTGATTATCACCTGTCAGGGGCAGATGTGCCTCCAGATTTGAAAAGCCCTCCCTCTCAGGAAGGAACAGAAGGGGAAACGCTGCTCCTGGGACTAAAAAACAAAATGCTTTTACAAATGTAGCTGAGTTTGCTGACATGCTCCGGAGGTTTCACGTTTGAAAATATGCAGTGGCAGTGAGACAAGGTATCAGATTCTGCAGGCAAAAAGCCACGGAGCCAGTATTCCAAACACGGCCCATTAATTTCTTCTTTTACACACCCACTGCACAGCTTGAGAATGTATTTTTGAAAACCTGATCTTGTTTTAAACCATTAAAATATTTTCCAGTGTCTGCATGCAGCCAGCTCTCCTTATGTTATTCACGATTGCAGCTTGACATTGTGAGCAGTGGTTTCCACTACTTAACCGAATCCGGTACCCTTTCCGTCCTGCTACTACCTGATAGCACTGAGAAGTGTAAGCTTTAAAACTGCAGCTCCTCCAGAAATATTAATGGAGGGGTGTGGACCTGTCCTTTTACAGAGTTTAACAGCTTACGCTGTAATAATAAAATGCTGGCTTTACTTCCTAAAATAATCCAAAGAAGAACTTGAAGGAAATGAAACTAAAATCCAACAGGATTGCAAAATTAGGGCAGAGTTAAGGAAAAAAAATATTTTGAGTACCAGGAGAAATCTAAAATAAACAAAAAACAGTGCTTTTGAGATATTGCTATTTGACCTAGACAGTTGCTCTGAAGTTAAAAAAGTGGAGCTCCCTGCAGAATCTAGCAATGCATTCCCTGGAGGAACCAGAAAAAGTTTTCCCAGGATACGCATCTATGTTCATCTACGAAGGCCTAGACAAAGGGGAAAATGGATGTCTAGAGGCTTAGACACAAAGTGCTCGACTAGAACTATGAAAATTGTCAGAATGATGAGACAAAACAGAAGAACTTCAGTCTCAGTGCTTACAGAGGAGGAGGCATACTGTACCTTATTACTGAAAACCACAGGAAAAGGGGAAGCTATTAAGCTGCTTCCTGGCGACTTCTCTGTGGCCTTGAAACTGTTGTAAGTGTAGCCTTTAAAGCCACGGAGAGGCACCACGTGTGCTGGAGAATTCTAAACTTGCATAGAGTGAGGCAGATTTGCTGTTTCATACATGACTTTGTGGTCCCATTATCAGTGTCAGAGAATTCAACACAGTGATCAGTTGCTCAAGTGGTAATGAGTGGTCCAGTATTATCTGATTTACTGGAAATGACAACAATTTGCCTTGTTCGTAGGAATTAAATTTCTTAAAATACATAAAAATAATCACAAGTGCTAAAGTTTAACCCACTCCATTTCATGCAATAAATCTCTAAGAGAAAGTGAATCATAAACTTTTCCTACCTACAACAGAGGCTATGTTTAAATTCTATTATAAATAATTGTGGTTTTCCATTTTAAAAAATTGATTTTTTTTCTAATACTTATTTTGTCTAAGCTCAAAAAGAAAGTCTTTTTTCCCCTCTGAATCCAGCCTTTGTTGCTTTTCTGAAGTTTTCTGGTCACAGGTTCTCTTTGAGACCCATGGAAACCATCCCCAGACAAAGGCACTTGTGCAAGATGCACACACTCACAAGCACACACACTCACGGGCACAGGCACTCATGGGTACGCTCATTGCTGCATTTCACAGAAGGAAGAGCTGGTGTGCTTGGGTCTGCAGTGAGGGCTGCCAAGAGCCCATGCCTTGCCCTCTTCTGCAGACCTGTTGATCTTTGTGGTGTTCACCATCTCACAGATTCAGTGATGACCCAGTTCTTCCTGGGGACTGAAAGGGTTTTGGGCCCAGGCCGGATACTGTAGCCGGTAAAGCCAAGGAGCTCTTATTTCCCCCACCCTTAGGAATCTACCTCTGGTGCCAAACTAAGACCAATGGGCTACCTGTGCATCCTAATGCCCCCCTTAGGTTCCACCCCAAGCCGAGGCTACTTATGTGCCTCACTCCACGTGTTCCACAGAGAGATTGCTGGCCCCGGGGTGGAGATGGCGCATCCCAGGGGGTCGGGGTGTCTCTCCCCGCATTCTCAAAATAAAGGTCATTTATATTTCATACTTCTTATCTTTTCAGCTGCCGCTGGTCCTCCCCTACAGTTCTATCAGGGACACTAGCTTGGGAATTCCTGCTTTGTTGGTTTGTGTTGATCTGGTCTGAGCCCAAACTGTCAGGCAGGGCACATGCACCTCCGCTGTAGCCCACTTCTCTGCAGGGCACGCTTGCAGTGTCTGTGGTGCGTCAGGCCACCATTTACAAGACAGAGATGCAAGGCAGCTGTGTGCATTCTGTCCCTACCTGGTTGGAACATGGAGGCTGCTCTACATTCCTCCTCGTCTCTGCCCACAGGATCTGTATGGGTGACTCTTTACGCATCTCCAAGAAGGACACTACCATCTTCCCCAAAGCACAAGGCGTGAATTTACTGCTGGGCACAGGTCTCACCATAAGATCCTCACAAAGGGCGAGATGGAAGTGGTCAATGCTTGGATTTGACCATCACACAAATCATCATCCTGAAGCCCATAATTATTTGCAATTAAAATAATGATAGATACTGTGTGAGAACCTCGTTACAAGGGGTTTAGAGCGTGGTGAAGACAGCGGTAGTGTTACCTGGCAAAAACAACTCTCCTTGCAGCTTTGCTCTGGCCTGCCGGGAGAAGCATCTTTTCTTCAGCCAATCAGCTTCAAACTCGCTGTAATGCTCGTGCGGCCACGTGATGTAAACCTTGAAACACAGAAGGCAAAGTCATTGTTTGTGCAGCTTACATCTGCGTGCCTGCTCCCCAGCGTTGCCCTTTCTGGACCTTACGAGGTAAACAGGGAAGCCAGTGGTCCTTGTTTTCTTTTTCATTTCCACGAGAGTAGAGTGGGTCATCTAAAGATGGTGGCTGCTAAACCAGAGTTGCAAACACAGAGTTTGGCTGGCCCTGGAATTCTGGTGCTGCACCCTCTACACCAGAGGCCCCCAAACTTTCTGTGACAACTGAAACTAGGTATCGGGTAAGATTCCTGTCAAGAGGTTTCAAAACAGTAATGTCATGACAAGGAGAAAATATAATAAGGTTAATGAGGCTAATAATCACGATAAAAGTAATGACACCATTCTGAGTGCTTACTATCCAACAAGCAGCAGAAAAATAACTCCAGGGACTACCACCGGCAGTGAGTCAGGCGTGGGTGTAGAGTCCTCGGATGAGGACCACACAGTGGGTGTAGGATGGCCTTTGCAGTTACGGTTATCTTCTGATAAGAATCTGTTTCAGGCAGCTGAGCTGGTTAGAAATATTACAGGCAGTGAGACAGGGCTGGGTCCTCAAAGGAGCCAGTGCATAAGCTCAGATACCTGGCAACTTCAGGGAGGGGCTGCAATAGACACCTGCTGCTATGGGCCAGGCCTCAAGACAAAGGATCAAACAAATGCATCCACATCGTAAGGACTGATATTCTACTTAATTCCCTATCACTCTGGAGTTACTATATCACCCCCCTAGGGGAAAGATCACAGCTCTAAGAATGCTGGCTTCCTACATGACTGGCTTTCCCATTTGTCCCCAGTTTAATCAGTTTTACCTGGACTACTAAATCTTATTGGCTAACTATACCTATGTCCCACCTTATGGCCAACTGCCTTGTGAACTCCCAGTCTTTCCCCACCTTAAACCTGGTTTGCCCCATGATTTTGCTCTATAAAAACCCCTGGAAAAGACAAGAGTCCTTGGCAACCCGCTTGGGACCCCGGGACCCTTCTGTCTCAGACAGAAGCTTTCTTCCTCTCAATAAATATATTCTATTCTTCACCTCCTTTGTTCCTAAAATTCCTTCTTCGATTTTAGAGAACATGAACTCGCGGACACAGTAGGACGGGAGTTTCATTCTCCTGTATCAGATCCAGGTGGATTTGAGAGATAGCAGGATGGTGGGGCCTATCCAGTAAGGCTGAGAGAACAATGTTTTCAGGACAAAGCTTAGACCTCCACCCACAGATCTGACTAAAATGTTAGTCGGCACCATTTATTGTGTGATCACTGCATCCGAGGGATCCTGATAAACACTCAGATAAACACTTCTTCCCATCTTACGTCATCAAATCCAGACATCCCTACTGTTAGCAGCCCCACTTTACAGATGACTAAGTGGAGTCTCAGCAGCATTGCTTTTGTTGTAGAGATCATTGCATTTTATCATAAGGCTGCCACAGACTAAAATAATAATGAGTGAAACTGCAGATTTCATAAAAATAAATAGTGGCAGTGATATGAATAGCAGATGCTTCCAGTTAGTGACGATAATTAAGTTGTACAGAGCACCATGCAGTGGTCATCTAGATGGCCCCAGGCATGGCCAAGTGAGACAATAGCCACTTAAATCAGGGCAGATCAGCAGCTTTATTTAGCCAGAAAGGGCAGGGAGCCACCCTGTGGGGACAGTTACCTTTCTCCTGTCAAACGTCAAGCCTTTGATATAGATGTTCACATCGAGGGCTTCCAGGAGAAGTTTGCGGGCTTTGGCAGAATCCAGGTAGCAGTCGGAGCACTGGCAGTTGTCCCTCAGCCACACGGCGGGGTACAGGGACTCTCCACCGTCATCCCAGACCACCTGCATCAGGTGCGCCCTCTCCAGGGCTTCAGCCTTTTGTATGATGCAGTCCATCTCCCTGCTCTTTCGAGGTGAACCCCTCAGGCTCCCTGTTAAGACAAAAGTGTGTTAAAAGGGACAGGCGCATCAGATCTGAAACTGACCTCCCCAGAGCAAGCTCAGCTAGTTCCAGCCGACTCTGCTCTCCGCTATTTGCTTAGCTGCCTGGGGCTGCAGCTTGGTTCCCAAGGCTGAGACCTTTGTTCTGATTTTATCTGATGTCAACAGAAACAAAGTAAATAAGAAATATGACCAGTCAGTACCCGGGTGGAGAAAACGCTTTGATAGTCTCAGGAATTTTAGAGACCAGCTCAGAAGCAATGACTTGCATGCTTTTATGATCCTGTTCATACAAAAGCTCCATAGATCTGAAAGTGTAACCACCACGTCTCTCTCATTTTATTTGGTGCCACTTCCCTAAGGCTTGGGAGACAGAAGTGTTTCTACCGGCACTACATTAGCAAGCGTGTTCTGGTGAAGGGGCGGTGGTTGCCATTTGTTTATCTTAAGACCTCTCTAAGTCACAACACAGGCTATTTCTACAGTATCTTTTAACATTTTTTTTTTTTTATCTCCACAATGTGTTTTCTAGATGAACTGTAAAAATGTCTGGTTTCAGCAAGGAAACGTGTTTTGTTTATTTTCTGAGATTTTTCTTCCCTTCTGTGCATCAATTGAGTGTGAATGTGTTTTGATATTTAGTTTATCTTCAGTTTTATGGGGGGGTGGGTTGGTGGGCAGGGTACTGGGGATTGAACCTAAGACCTAAGCACTAAGCTACACCCTTGTCCTTTTTTAAATCTTTTTTTTCCTCAGACAGGAGTGTCACTAAGTTGCTGAATTACCCGGGCTGGACTCAAACTTGTGTTCCTCCTGCCTCAGCGTCTTGGATTATAAGTCTGCCACAGGCACCTGGGGCTTCCCTGACAAGGAAATCAGATTACTGGATAGAGAAATCTGTTAAAAGGAGGTAGATTTAGCTGCATGCCCTGTTTCCCTTTCTGTCTCCTTTCTGGAATGTGGCTGTGCTACTGACGAGAAATCTGAAGTCCAAAAGGAACAAGGTTTGCATGTGACTCTGTGACATCACATTACTAGCGACGGATGGTCACATCTGGACTTCTTGCAGGAGTGAGTAAATTTCACACTTATTTCAAACCTAAATTTGACAGATATTTACCAAAAGAAGATTCTGCAGTCTACTAAAGATGCAACATGGGATGCAATTGTCGGTGTAGGCACTCAGACAAAGATGTGGGTGTGTTTACTAGGAATTGAGCTACGCCAAGTTCTCTCTTGGTACAAGGTTTTCCAAGGGAAAGCAGGCAGGGGCATAGAGGCAGGTTTCATAGCAAGTAAATGCTAACATAGATGATAGATAACAAGCACACAGATACAATACAAAGCATGATAAAGTAACATCATTTATCTACCTACCTAAGCTTATCTATATATATCTATTTATATTCATCAATTTTTTTGCTTATTTAATTATTCTTTTTGGTAATTAATATGAATTTTCATTTTGAAACTTGATTTACAAGCCAAAGGGGTACTTATTTACTAAAATTGCCTGTCATGAACCAAAGGCAAAAGATGCTTCATAATATCAATACACAAAATTATGCACTGTATAATACCTGTTAAAATGCATTTTAAACACTGATCCTGGCCTGGCTTTTCTAAACAATATAGGATTCATTCATCCCACAGTCACAGTCCTTCAGAGTACAATAATGTAACTTCTTTATACTCTCTTGTAAGTAAAAAAATTCAGTTTTTCTGACCGCTCTTCATAAAATATGACCTGTAGTATCTACACTTTTCAGAATGCTTTGTCTCAGTCCCTCCAAAGACCCCAACAGTAAGTCCACTGAGGTACTGGATAGTCAGCCTGCCTAGACTCTGCATGGGGGTGCTAATGAAGGGCTTTCCTGACTGATGCAAGCCAGTGGGTAAAGAGTTAAAGAGGCATTTACCTCTTCAAATGCATAACTGACAAGGGAACCAGGACCACAAACAATAAAGAGATCATGACACTATCACAATAAAGAACCAATTATTGACTGGAAGGGAATGGTGATGTACAAAGTAACCAAAGTAGAATTGAAATTAATTACCTTCCAAGCAACTTATGGTGCTCCAAGAGAACAGATGTAGGTAAATGATATCAGGAAAAATTATGAATAACACAAGAGATTCAATGAGAAACCTCAAAGAGAACCAAAGAGAAATTCCAGAGCTGAAGACCAAATAACTGGCTTGGACATTTCCACAAGGAGTTTCAAAAGCAGACATGATCAAGGGTGTGTCATCCGAGATAACCAGTTTGGAGGAACGAAAAGAATAAAGAAGCAAGGAGTATAGCAGTCCCATGTACCCAATGGGTCACCATCAAGTGAACCAAAACAAACAGCAATGGAATTCAAAAGGAGTACAGAAAGCTTCTTTAAAGACACAGAGCCAGAAAACAATGGAGAAGGAAATAAATCTTAAATCTGTGAAGACCCCAAATCTCAACTAGATTAAACATTAAATACACGATAAGCAAACTGTGAAAGTAAAGAGCAATCTCTTAAAGTTAAGGAAAGTTCTCCTCACATACAAGGGAACTCCTGCAGAGCTATCAGTAGATTTCTCAGCAGAAATCTGATAGACTGGAGTGCTACCTTCCATGTGGAGGGAAACTGCCAACCAAGGATATTTTCCCTGAAAAGTTGCTGTCCTGCAGAAATGAAGGGGAGATTAAAATTTTCCCAGAAAAGCAAAACCCACGTTGAGTTTAGCATCACTCGATCTGCTAACAAGACATGCTGAAGAGAGCTCTTCAAGTTCAAGCAAAAGGACACTCACAACGTGAAAGCATATAAAAAGTAGCATGAACATAAAAATATAATCAAGTTCAAATTTTTTGGTATAGTAATGATGGTATGTGAATCCCTTTTAATCCAGTGTAAAAGTTAAAAAGTGTTAAAATTGCTATAATTCTAATAACTTACTAGTAACACAACTCTTTGAAGGCTCTAGGTTTAATCTATAGTACTACAAAGAAACAAATCATAAAACACAGAGGCAGGAAGAGCTAAAATGAAGATTTTTATGTATGTGACTGAAGTCAATGCATCAATGGTTTAAGATAGATTGGAATAATTATGATTTAGTTTATGTAAACACCATGATAATCACTGTATACCCACAAAAATCCTGTAGCAGATTTACTATAAAGAGTCATGAAAGCATGACACTACAAAAAATGATCAAATTGCAAGAGATATTAGTAAAAAAGGAAGACTTGAACAAAGGAAATACAAAATAGAAAATAACAAAATGGAGAAATCTTTGACCTATCTATAATTATTTTAAGGAAAATCAATGAAGTCTTCCAAGAAAAAGAGTGAATTATTTAAATGTGAAAAAAGAAGACCCAACTGCATTTTCTTGGAAGAAACTCCCTGAGATTTAAGACCACACATTGGTTGAAAATAAGGGAAGAGAAAAAAACCGAAGTTATATAAATGGTGACCCAAAGAGAGTGGTTGACTATAAAGAGACTTAAGCTAAAAACTGTCACAGGGGACAGAGAAGTTCATTATACAATGAGAAAACAGTTAATTCACAAAGAGCATTAGCCATGGTAAATATGTGTATATTTACATGTATGTACGTATGTTCTGTGTGAGGCTGAATGACCAAAACCTGTAGCATAGAAAGCCCACAGAGAATAACACGAACAGTGGAACCTGAATCAGTAACCAAAACCGCTAGCCTGCATTGTGATGTCTTCACTGGTGAAGTCTATTGCACATTTAAACGAGTCAAAACATGTTCCTCTCAAACTCTTCCCCTCCAAATTAAAGAAGACATTACTTCCAGACTCAAGTTGAGGTTACAACTCAAGCTTCACTAGACAGTAAAGGAATGCAAAGTTCTAGGCTAACATCTCTGGTGAACATAAATGTGAAAATCTTCAGTGAAATACTAGAAACATGAATACAGTAACACATTAAAAGGATCATATGCCATAATCAAGTAAGATTTATCCCTGCAATGCAGGGATTACTCAACATTCACAAATAAATTGGATAAACTGCACCAAGAGAAAGAAGGATAGAGTCATAATTGTCATAATACATGCAGAAAAAAGCACTTGGCAAATTCAACATCCTTTCATGCTAAAACTTCTATGCGTAAAAAGAATGTACTTAAACATAGTAAAGGCCATTGTATTAGATTTTTAGCCACAACTTAACCTTCAGTTCCTTTAGAGCCAAAATTTAAATGTTTCAAAGTTTTCTGCTCCAAATTTTCACCATAAATCTTGCTAAAAACAGTGGTACTCATGAACAATGGTCTGCCTTGCAATTTCCTTTGCCAGATCAATTAATCCACAGCCCTTATTTGATGATCAAGTCTTAGGATGTGGCAAAAATGTCAACAAGCATTGACTGATTGGGAGGATATAACATGCAGGGCCTCTAGTCCAATTCCCAGTAAAGTCCTCCTTCCCAGGGGAAACCTCACGAGCTGGGTTTTTGCTATCTGCATTTCTACTCAGATTCTGGATTTCTGAGAACTATCCATCAGGCTCTGCTTTTAGTACTCCAGGACTTCTTCAACTTTCATCCCAAAACATTTTTAGTGGGAAACTGGTTCCAAAGGCTTTGAACCACATGGTTAGGTACAGTCCTAGCAACAACCTTGCTTCTTGGTACCAGTTTTCTGTTATCAATCGCTTTCATTTTTTTGGGACAGAATACCCAAGGCCCACAAGCTAAGGAGGGATGCCTTAATGCAGTTTATGGTTACAGACAATTTTGTGCATGGCTGGCTGACTCCAAGGCAAAAGTCACACGGCGAAAGGGCCTGGTGGAAGAAAACTATTTAGCCCATGTCAGCTAGGAAACAGTGCACGAAATCAGCAGCAGGGAGGAAGGATGGGGGGTGGGATCAGTCCAGATGCAGATCCCAGGGCCACCCTCCACGACTACCCAGCCACATCCACAAGTGTGTGTTACCAATGGCTAAGCAACTCCAAAGCCAAAAAGGGTCA